TATCATATCAGAGGCGTGCGCCGTCATTCCCAAGCGGAAATCAACGCACGTGTTTTCAAGGGAGGACCCCAAGAGGAACCAGAACATGTCAGAGGTGTACATCGTCAATCTCAGGAAAATCCCAAGAAGACATCAGTGTACCATACATCAATACAGAAATCATATCAGAACAAGTCATATCATGTTATCAAATAACTCTATATGAATGCATCTATACAAAGTATCAAAATAACAGTCATAAAGTCCAACCATAGTTCACTAACCATGGTGGAGCACTCAAGCAGGAAAAGACTCCTTAAACATAGAGCTTACCTCTTGAAGCTTTTTCAATCCGCTTACTTGTGGCACAAGTTACTTATACCGCTTCAACAGGATTCAGACCCTTTTCAGTCCCTAGGCACACCTAGAGAAAGAATCCAAAATACAAATCAATAAAATTTTATCATGCCTAGATTTTACATAAGGCATACATTCTATCGCTTATTTTCGTTTCTTTACATTTTTGTCAATCCTATGCCAATACACAAGTGTAGACCATTTTATACTCGTTAGCGTTCTTTAATTTAATCAAATGTTCACTGGAGCATTTTCCACATAATTCATGCCATTTTCTTTAAAAGGCCGTGGACCTACACTTAGGAAATCAAGATATTTTTCCATAATTTCTTTTTAAACCATTTCACTTCATAATCTTATTAATTTCATGTATTGAAAACTCAATACCTTAACAAAATAAAACATAATCTAGTCATCCTTAATTTACCCTAGAAGGCCGAAATCCATAAAGGAGAAGCCAAGGGTTTCTTTTTTTTTCATCTATTTTCTTCACTTACAAAATAACTCACATATACCTAGGCCTATACAGGTATATTGTCACAAGGTATTCAACTAATTTTTTTGAACATAAACACCCCTCCAAAGCCCGTTATGGCCGAACTCATAAGGGCATATTTCATAAGATTTTTCCCCACTTAAGCATCCTTACTAGTTCATCATTTTTCCACTTATTACAACACCTCACCCTTCCAAATATACGAATTAAATTTTTTTGCACATCATCCCCTCCACACCCTCTCATGGCCGAAACATAAAGGGACACAACACAAGGGAATTTTTTTTCATTTAACACATGTAAAAATGCTTATTTCACATGCTTATATACTAAACATAAAAAATCCATCATCAATTTACCTTTAAACTAATTTATTTCCCACCCAACACATGCTCATAATTTTTATGACTCAAATCATCAAAATGAAACCATGGAAATAGAGGTTCCTTACCTCTAAACACTTGTACAAAGCCTAGAGAGCAACCTCCAAGCAAAGCTTCATCCACTACTCATTTTTTTTCCTTTGGTGAATAGTAACTCGAAAATGGGGGAGGAAGAACTCCTCACACACTCAACTATCGCTCAAATTGATCGGTGGAATGAACTCATTGGGTGGTTTACAATCGATTTCATGTAGTGGGCTTTGTGATTTGGTGGAAGATTCAGTGAGAATCAAAGGAAAGAAGAACCACTCCCTAACCCCCTTTTTCTCCAAGTGTAGCTCGGGTTCTTGAGGGAGGAGAGGAGAGAGAACTGATTTGAATAGTGCTCATTTAAGCCACTTAAAGTTTTAAGCACATGTAGCCTTTTTTCCCGGTTGTTTTTCTATCGCGTATTTTAACTTAAACTGGCCCGGAACTAACTTAAAGCTACAAACATATTTTTATTTTTCTGAACACATTTACATTAATTTTTATTTCCTAAGGAACAATATTCATAATTCACAGTATGGTTTCTGCACTGTTTTTGACGAAATGCACTGTGAATCATTAACTGTACATAGTTTGCTTACGAAACTTAAAACTTATATACTTATCATATTTGGGCCTATATTGACTTGTTTGGCATATATCGAACTTTCTTATTCTTATTTCATCAATTATTTATTTTTGGACTCTACCGATTGCTTAACAGCAGTACAAAATACCCGGTAAAAATCACTATTCACGTGATTTTCACAGAAAGTGTCAGACTATACAATTTTTCGTTCTGAACTCATATTTGGCATCAGAATTGCCAAATTATGTCTCTAAAATCATTTTACTCATTTTAGCTCTACCGGTTAATTCACAAGACTGCAAATTCTTCGGCAGAACGCACTGTTCATAACTTAGTCATGATTACAGTCAAAAAATCACTCACTGAATCTAATTTTGGCATTTAAATCCTTAAATTAAACCTCTAATTAAGATTTACCATTAAAGATCATTATATGGTTCATCTGAATTTGAAATACTAGACAAGGCCAAAACTATAAAATCTCGAAACACAATCTCAACAATGACTGCTCTATTCAACTCTATACCCATTAGAAAATATGCAAGAACAAATAATCAATATAAAAAGTTTTCAAGCAGGGTCCTTTGTTTTTGCTCTGTATCGTACTACACAACAAGCTATATAGGTAGGGTTGGCAAAACGGGCCAACCCGGCTCGACCCGGCCCAACCCGCATTCAGCCCGAAAAAAATGGGTCGGGTCGGGTTGGCTCGAAAAAAAAACGAGCTAGAAAATCCAACCCGGCTCGACCCGAGCCGGGTTAGGGTTGGCTCGCGGGTTGGCTCGATAATCAGCTCGCGGGTTGGCTCGTAAAAAAGCTCACGGGTTGGCTCAAAAAAAGCTCGCGAGTTAGCTCGAAATGATGCTAGTGGGTTGGCTCGCGGGTTGGTTAGCTCAAAATATTGGCTAGCGGGTTGGCTCAAAAAATTTAATTTTTGTGGTTTGTTTTCCTGTATAAAATTATTGTATTTTGCAGTCCAACTACAAGTAGAGTAGTTTACAAAATCCAAAAACATTAAATGAAACACAAACCACTCCACGAATCACAAGAGTCATTTATCATGATTTTTTGAATTACTCTAACTCACGATAACCATAAAACGTATGTAAAGCCAAAAAATAAAAAATAAAAGAAGTCCATCAGTGGAGAATCCATCAGTAAAGTCCATTGTAAAAAAAAAAAAAGAAAAAAAAAAAAAGAAAAAAGAAAAGAGTAACCCGCGAGCTGGCTCGTTTGAGCTCGGGTTGGCTCGGGTCGGGCTAAATCGAGCTGGCAGCTCATTTTTGCCAACCCAACCCGGCTCGTTTTGTGCGGGTTACGAGCCAACCCGACGGGTTGGCTCATTTTTGCCATCCCTATCTATAGGGTGCAGCACAAGACCATAAGAGAACGATTGCTATTTGCTAATGCTAATGATCGTTAATATATAACTAAGAAGTTGTTCTATAATGAAACAGAAAAGCCTTTAGAATCAAGGGATGGAGTGAGCCAACATTAATTGCTATTCATAATGAGCAACTAACTGCGAAAAAGTAATTTTTTCCCTTAAAAATAAGTATCTAAATTTTTTTAAGATAATTAAATATTAAAAAATAAAACTAATACAACAACAAAATATTTATAGAAAACGAGATAAACCAATATAAAAGCAATAATAATAAAGGAAAATAAATTATAAATAGAATAAATAAATAAATTAAAACAAAAAAAATTAATATTTTGTTTAGGGAAAAAAGAGAAAAAGGAAAAGTTAGTAGCACTAATTCTATCCCTGGATAATAACAAGAGTTTTCCTCTACTTTAACATGCTCATTGCCACAATACTCATTTTATGCTTATATTGTTTCTGTGCTAGCCAACGTTAATCTCTCTATGGCATCCAAGCCTTAATATTGTTCTATAAATATTTTCACTTAACCAAACAGAAATTTTAGATTATAAAAAAAAAACCCCAATGCATTGAATCATTCCATGTTTATATTCTAATTAATGTTTTTTTATATATAAAATTGATGTCAAATATATAAATGTATAATATTCAGGAATTCATAAAAAACTAATACTTAGAAAAAATAATTTTTGTGTTTTTTTTATCACAATTAAAAAATTTAGTTCAGAAAAATATCAAAAAACTATATTATATAAACATTTAAAAAATAAAAATAAAATAAACTTACTCAAAGAGCACCCTACTTATTTTACTGTGTATGTGAAAGTTTCTATGACACCATGGAATCCGTGGATGGCTTAACTTGATAATATTTTAGAAGCCTTACTATATTATCGACAAAATGCAGAATGTTGTGCAGAATTCAAAACCAACTGGTTTTTACCTCTCCGCAATTAAATGCACTTCAGCTAAAAGAGTAAGAAACGACTTGGTACTTGACAGGGACTTTCCCATTTGGTAATTTCAGAAGTGCTTTAAATATGAGATAACCAACTTGCCAATCCTTTTCAATATTTTTTAATGATCCACAGCATATGAAACTATGAAGGAATAACAGAGTTGTTCAGTAGTAAAAGGTTTTCCAGAATTAATTGCAGCTATCAGAAGTAAGGAATGACCGAATAGGATGCGTACAGCATCATAGCTGTTGAACATTGTCTAACAGGAACATCATGTGCATAACCGCCTAAACACCAATGTTTATTGCTCAGAATTCAAGCGTGAGTGATAAAAAATATATCATGAAGAAATGAGTTAAGCATCATATAAATAGGTTAAACAAACTCATAAAACCAACGTATATAAGATTTTAAATTGAGATGCAACGTACGACTCCCTTATTATGAGTTTGTTGCTTAGGTTGAGATGAAATGTAAGATTCTCTTTTGAGGAGTGGTTTATAAAGTTTTTTTTTACGTGCATATATATACGAAGGATCTGTTTATAAATTTTTTTTTTATAAATTTTTACAAGTTATACTATGTATCCCGGAAGTACATAGTGTAATCTAGTGTACTTCTGTAAGTATATAGTGTAGTTTGTAAATAAAAAATTTGTAGATATAATTATCCTTATATATACATTAACCAGTAATAGAAACTTTAGTTTCACGTTATTTCTACGATTTATGCAACTACACCTTTCATTTCAGCAGAATATTGCTTATTAATTTTGGTAATTTAAACTGCAGAAATCTATTCCACGCGGAATACAAGTGCCATGGACCTGGAGCCACTACATACGGAGGGACGCGCTCCTTGGTCGAAGCAGCTAACTGACGAACAAGTTGCACCCCTTCTATTTATTGATTACATTGATGGCAAGAATTGGTTGCCAGTTTGGCAATCATCACGTTCGCACAAGCTTTAATATGGAAAATTGTGACGTTTATGTCAAATAGATTCTTAAATACGCAGTTGGATTGTTTGTTAGCAAAAGCATTTACTAAGTTACTATATAACTAAATACCTTTTTGGTCCTCAGCGAGTTTCACTTCACACCGCTTTAGTCCCTGACAAATAAAAAAGTAATTAGTGATCCTTAAAAAATTCAAAATAGACCCATTTAGTTGAAATCGTGATCCTTCACAAATTCAAAAAAGACCCACATTAGTCCCTCAAAAGGACTAAAATGGGTCCACTTTGAATTTCTTAGGGACCATGAATAACCTTTTTATTTGCTAGGGACTAAAGCGGACATCGTGAAATTTGTTAAGAACCGAAAAGGATATTTACTCTTAGTATATTGTGTACCCACTTTGTCTTGCACTTTATAGTACTTCTATATCGCTAGTATTTAGATCGAATCCAAGTTGTTAAAGAATTGTTATAGCTAGTAGTACGTACGCTATGCACCTGTCTTCTTTGGTTTGTGAATATTAAGCAAGTTGATCTGTATTGAAAGAGAAACATGCCACTTTAAGGTGTGTGCTGCTTATCATTGTAGAGTGCTTTAGTTTATCAAGTGTTGTCAAGTTAATGGTGTTAGTCATGGCTCGTGTTCATGTAAATAAAGTAAGCCAAAACTAGCAGTGCTAGCTCCGTGTTGGTAAAAGGAAAATAATAACAGTAATAATAAGTGAAATAATTTGATTATGACAAAACTCCGTTTATATCTTTAATCTATATTAGCCTACATGCATTCATGCACGAGCATCACAAAACTCGCGAATTTATTTAATTCGTCTATAGTACGTACTTGCATGGTGCATCCATAGACCAGCATCACATTGCATGACAATATAAGACGATGTTTCGAGGAATTTTTTAATTAAAACCCACCACCAATTCCTCCACCACCACCAGCACCACCTCCAAAGCCACCTCCTGCACCTCCACCATCACCAACTCCAACCCCTACTCCACCACCATGCCCTCCTCCAACACCTCCTCCAAAGCCACCACCGGCACCACCTCCGGCTCCTCCACCTGCTCCTCCACCAATACCACCACCTTTGCCACCTCCAAAGCCTCCACCAGCACCACCTCCGGCTCCACCTCCTGCACCACCACCTCCACCAACTCCACCTCCTACACCTCCACCTTTGCCACCTCCAAAGCCCCCACCAACACCACCTCCGGTTCCACCGCCTCCACCAGCTCCTCCTCCAATTCCACCATCATGTCCACCTCCGATTCCTCCTCCAACGCCACCACCTTTGCCACCTCCAAAGCCTCCACCAGCACCACCTCCGGCCCCGCCTCCAACTCCACCTCCTACGCCTCCACCTTTGCCTCCTCCAAAGCCCCCACCAGCACCACCTCCGGCTCCACCGCCTCCACCAGCTCCTCCTCCAATGCCACCACCATGTCCACCACCGATTCCTCCTCCTACACCACCACCTTTGCCACCTCCAAAGCCTCCACCAGCACCACTTCCGGCCCCGCCTCCAACTCCACCTCCTACGCCTCCACCTTTGCCTCCTCCAAAGCCCCCACCAGCACCACCTCCGGCTCCACCAGCTCCTCCTCCAATGCCACCACCATGTCCACCACCGATTCCTCCTCCTACACCACCACCTTTGCCCCCTCCAAAGCCTCCACCAGCACCACCTCCGGCTCCACCTCCTATGCCACCACCATGTCCACCACCGATTCCTCCTCCGACCCCACCACCTTTTCCCCCTCCAAAGCCTCCACCAGCACCACCTCCGGCTCCACCTCCAATGCCGCCACCATGTCCACCACCAATTCCTCCTCCCACACCACCACCTTTGCCACCTCCAAAGCCTCCACCAGCACCACCTCCGATGCCACCACCATGTCCACCTCCGATTCCTCCTCCAGCTCCACCACCTTTGCCTCCTCCAAAACCTCCACCAACTCCACCTCCAAAACCACCTCCTGCACCACCACCTTTACCAAAACCCCCACCACCACCAAAACCACCTCCTCCAATGCCATCAACTAATTCATCTTCCTTGATTTTTCGGCATTCTGCTATTCCTATCACCAATACAAACAACACAGCAAGTGTTCCAGCATACTTATGCAACTTCCCCATATCTTTGTTCAAACAGAGAAAACAAAGCTATAAATGATTAATGCTTCACTTATAATTTGAAAGCTAGCAAGGATTAGTATTTATAGTGGAAAACACAGAGTACGCGCCATTAATACTTATAGTTGAGATCTCTATTCCATCGTACATTGATGCCAGCCAGCCCATAGACCAATTCTCCAACACATGGCCAAAAAATTCAAACTTTCAAAGATTGAGAAAGATACCATTCAATACGTGACACCTAACCTAACAAACTAGATATCTACGAAAACACTTTTCCAACAATGCTAATGACTTAAAAGCTAGCTCACACTGATTCCAATCATAATTGCAGATACTTCTTATATCAATTTTGCTGCCGACATTTTTTACTCAAACAGAAAGGGGGATGAAAATTACTGACTCTCTATGTAGCCCTTTACATTGATCAATTACCTAGCCATTTAATATTTTTACCAACCAAAAGTGTCCACTCAACTCAACATGATAGCAAATTTAGACTGCGTTTATTTTGTTATTTCATTTTATTTTTAATTAATGTTTTCATTATTAATTACGAAATTTCATTTTATTTTCATGTTTTTAAAACTTTACAAAGGAAAAAGTTAAGTATATTCTTTATTTCATTTATACATTTTTGAAAATAAAAATATAAAGTGAAAATAATATTACATTTTTATAATTATTAAAGAAATATAACAATTGAAAATTAAAAAAAAAAAAAAAAAACACACCAAATGTCTACAAACTTGTTTAAACAGGAATTATTACTGCAAATTGAGTTTACTATTTTTATTTGAAGTTTTAATTAGGTACTTTATCCAAGCCCCACTAAGATTATTTATGTCTTAAAAAAATTACATTATACATGGCGAAATTTTCACAAGGTTATATATATAGTATTACTCCGTATTCAGAGATTTTTGGGTGCTCTCTGGCAATTTTTCTTATTTTAAACTATTAAACGTGCATTTCCTTATTTACAGCATTAATAATGTAATTAAAGTAGAAGACCGATAACGACAATCATACAGTTATATTTATAAACATTCTGTGGTACATAGTAAGATAAACTTACTGATTAAAGTAGTTGAGGGTTGTAATCAAACATTTATGAATTCATTTATCAATAAAATTATCGATCTTCTCTTAGGTATTCGCCGAATAAGAAATATATGTTATTCTATTCTGTTGAATTAGCGTCACTTATTTAATGGGTTATCACGTAATTTCCTTTTAACTACACGTAAATAATAAATAATATTTTTTATATTTACTCATAAATTATTGAAGAATATATTTTATATGTAAAAAATTCTAAAAAATAATAAGTCAACCTTATGAGAGAATTAAAACTTAATTTATACGTCAATAGGAAAAATGTGAATATCTTAACAGAAAAATATTTTTGCAGTTACTGTATATAAGTTATCTGCATTTACTCATTGAAATATTAAAAAATTATAATTATAAATATTATTATAACCCTGAAATATATTAAAATTACAAAAATACCTTAATTTTTGTCCCAAAATAACGTCGTTTTGAACTCAATGCAGATAACTTATCTGCATTAACTACAGAAAAAATGAACTCATATATCTTAATTACATAATTTTAGCATAATTAAATGGAATAAATCATATTTAACTATTTAAAATTAATTTTAAAAAAATTATACATCGATTCCTATTGATATTGTCAAAAACACAAATCAACATTTCACATACTATATATAAAATGGAAAAAAAAATGTGTGTTCTTTTAAAAGACACAAAGTTAAATCTTTTTAAGAAAGAGGGCGAGATAAATCATCGGGGGGAGGGGAGTGATTTTTTTTCCCTCTCCCCCATAATCTATCTCTATCTCTCTCTTAAAAAGATCATCCTTCTAAAGGACACACATCTTTTCCTTATAAAATATAAAGATATCATGCCATTTGATACAGGAGAAATTTTGTAAAATAGTGTTTTATATATCATTACACCGTTACATAATATTATTTTATTGTTAAAATATTACATTATTATCTAATACTAAAAAGAAATTAAAAAAATCTTGCCTAACACATGCAAAATTTAATAATAAAATATCATTATATTATTATATAATATCATGTTATTATATAGGGTTTTATTACTCTCCTTTAGGAGAAAACTTCTCTCATACTATCTGATTTTGATTTTTACACCCTTTGTTTTTTCTTTTATAATGGTGGGATTCATCCATCTTTTCTCTATAACATAAGATAGTTATCCCTATCTTATCTCCAAGGGGAGTAGTATTTCCCTATTATATATCCTATATAATAAAAGAAGAGAGAGTTTGTCTGGGAAAATAAAGAGGAAGCTTGTTACGAATATCACAGTGAGAAGATCAACTAGGGTTAAAAGGAGTGCAACACGTCTACAAGACTATGTGGCTTAAGGCTCTTGAAGAAGGCCACGTGTGACTATAGCTTCTGTTAGTTGCTTTGATTAATTGTCTCTGTGTGTAGAGTTGCTGAGGAGTGTCAATAGATACATAGCATTACGTGTCATAGAGATGTAAAGGGAATTGTATAAATTTACTTGAACACAGCCTATTAGGGGGTAAATAAAAATTCCTTGAGTTTTCCTTTCTACTTCTCTGTTCTTCCTTTGCCATTAGGGTTCATACCCTATTATTGGTGCTTTCATTCTTCTTCGATTTTCCTTCCATCACTGCCATGAAGGTGCAGGAATTATCGGACGAACTCAACTCGTTTCAACAACGAGTAGATTCGACTCTCGGTGAGCTTCGTCTTCAAGCTTCTGATACGAGGAATCAAATTGCTGATTTGGTGAATCAACTGCAACAATTTCAGGAAACTTTTCTGACGCGATCTGTGCATGCAAAGGATTCTTCAATGACTCCTCAGTTTTCTTCGTCGCTTTCCACACCGAAACATCATGATGTGGGAGATCAACGTGCCTTGCTTAAAGGAGTTCGTATGGAGATTCCGCTCTTTAATGGTTCGGCACCGAATGTGTGGATTTTCAAAGCTGATCTATTCTTCCATCTCCAACACATTCCTGAAGAATCTAAGGTTCCCCTAGCTGGTATTCGCATGGAAGGTATGGCTGCCGCTTGGTTCCAGTCGATGTTTAATAGTGGAACTATTAATTCTTGGAAGGTTTTCACTGTAGCCTTACGCCAACGTTTTGGTACTTCCACTTTTGTAAGTCTTAAAGGTGCCTTATCTAAGCTTACTCAGACTTCAACTCTGAGTGATTATATTCAACGCTTTGAGTCTTTGGTTAATCAAGTTCCTGAATTGGATGATGATTTACTCATGCATTTTTTTGTTTCGGGATTACAAGCTGAACTCCGTAGTGCTGTGCAATTGAGAGCACCACTCACCTTGCATCAAGCGATCCAATTGGCCATGGCTTATGATGATCATCATGGCGAGCTTCGAGTTTCTTTTGCTGCGGGTTCAAAGAAATTTTTTCCTCGAGTTTTTGTTCCTGTTGAGAATACTCCCAAAGATCAACCAAATTCTGCTTCAAACCAGACCCGACCATTGGCACTACCTCCTCCCTCGAATTATAAACGTGTACTCAATGAGGATTTACAGAGGAAACGAGAGTTGGGGCTTTGCTATACCTGCGATGAGAAATGGACCAAACAGCATCGATGCAAGTCTAAATTGATGTTGTTCGTTGGGGAGGAGATTTCTGATGAGGTTGATATTGAGGATGAACAAATCTTGTGGCAGGCAGATTCAGGGTTGAATGAAACTGCTGATGCATCATTACATGCCTTGGGTGTAAATGATCATCAACATTCCTTGACCTTCGTTACTTCCTTACACGGCACTGTTATATCTGTTTTGGTGGATTCTGGCAGCACACACAATTTTATTCAAAGTCAATTAGTTGATCAGTTTCACTTGCCTACAGTACGCTCACAGAAGTTTCGTGTCTTTCTTGGTAATGGTGAAATTTTGTTTTCAGACCGTAAATGTTTGCAAGTGCCTATTAAGTTGCAAGATGTCCTGTTTCATGTGGATTTTTGGGTTATTGAGCTCGCTACACTTCATGCCATTTTGGGTATGCCTTGGCTTGAATTACTTGGTAGAGTGACTCATGATTATAGACGGTTAACTATGGAATTTGTGTGGGAAGGATCACCTATTGTTCTTCAAGGAGTGCATTCGTTGGAGGTGACCAATTCTGCTTTAGGGGAAGGCAGCCTGGATTGTGCTACGTGTTGTGCTTTGGAGTTGCTGTCAGGTAAAGCACAAGGGGTTGTTGTCAATTCCGAGCTTTTGTCACTTAAGGCTAAGATTGACTCTAGGCTATGGAATGTGATTGTGTTTTATCAGGAGGTGTTTGTTGTTTCCTCTAAGCTTCCTCCTTTTCGTGGGATGGATCATTCTATTCAATTGTTGGAAGGGACCAATCCAATTAATGTTGGGCCATATAGGTATGCTCACTGCCAAAAGACTGAAATAGAGAAACAGGTGGGGGAATTGTTGAAGTCAGGACTGATTCAGAATTCCCATAGTCCCTTTTCTTCCCCAGTTTTATTGGTAAGAAAGCAAGACCACACTTGGCAGTTGTGTATAGACTATAGAGCTTTGAATGCTGCCACTATAAAGGATCGTTTTCCGATTCCCACAATTGATGAATTGGGCGGAGCCACTATATATTCTAAGCTGGACTTGCGGGCAGGGTATCACCAAATACGGATGAGTCCAATTGATGTGCCGAAGACTGCTTTTAGAACTTATGAAGGACACTACGAGTTCTTAGTTATGCCCTTCGGTTTAACCAATGCTCCCGCAACCTTCCAAGCTATGATGAACCACATATTCAAGCCTTACCTTCGCAAATTCATAATTGTATTTTTTGATGATATTTTGATTTTTAGCAGGTCTATCTTGGAGCATGTCGAGCACCTAAAGCTGGCTTTACAATGTTTACAACAACATCTGTTTTTTGTGAAGGTTAGCAAGTGTGCCTTCGGAGTAGATACAATTGAATACCTGGGGCATGTTGTCTCTAGGCAAGG